AACTTGCTACAATCTAGATCTAGAAGATATGTCTGAGGTTAATAAAAAATTTGAAGTGAATTTTGGAAAGGTCCGTTATTTGTCATTCTGCCCTCACTATTTTGACATCTCTAAGAGATTTGAAGTTTTGAATGAAATGAAGAGTTTGCGGATGTTCATTCCAACAAATTCTCGTTTTCAGAGCCATTTAGCAAAGACAGTGGTGCTTGATTGGATACCAAAATTAAGATGGTTAAGGGTATTATCTCTTCACAGTTATAGAATAGGAGAGCTACCGAATTCAATGGGAGATTTAAAATACTTGAAGTACCTTAATTTCTCAGGAACTGATATCAAAAGCTTGCCCGAATCCATAGGCTCCCTTCTCCAATTGCAGACACTGTCCTTATTCTCCTGCAGGAAATTTTCAAAGTTTCCTGTGAAAATTGGGAACTTAATTAGCCTCCATCATCTGGATATTAGGGAAACAAATTCCCTAAAAGAGATGCCATTTGGATTAGCTAACCTCAAACATCTTTTGACGTTGGGCAAATTTATTGTGGGGAAGGAAAATGGATCCCTGAAATTATCTAATTTGGAGAACTTTTCTCAACTTAAAGAGGAACTATCTATTCTAGATTTGCATAATGTTTCAAATGCTCATGATGCTAAGAAGGCCAGCCTGGACAAGATTGATGGTCTTGATTGGTTGCTCTTGCAATGGACCTCTGAATTTGGCAATTCTAGGAATGAAGACAAAGAAATGGAGGTCCTTAGCTGGTTAAAACCACATCTAAAATTGAAAAGTCTCTCAATTATTTGCTATGGTGGCAAGGAATTCCCGTCCTGGATTAGTTGTCTGTCATTTTCTAATTTATCATACTTGAAGCTGTGTGAGTGTAGAAGAAGCACTTTATTACCATCACTGGGGCAATTACCAGCACTCAAAGAATTGATTGTGGAAGGCATGGATGCAATAGAAACGGTGGGTTCTAAGTTTTATGGGCATGGCACTTTTCAATCTCTTGAGAAGTTGGAGTTTTGTGACATGTTAGCTTGGCAGGAATGGACTTCAACAACAGAAGGTGGAGTGGGATTCCCATGTCTTTGTGAGCTTGTGATTGAAAATTGTCCTCCATTGATGGGAGAATTACCGAGCCACTTGTCTTGTCTTACAAATCTTGTGATAAAAAGATGCCCAGAGTTAAGATGCCCATCATCTATGAGTCTTCAATCACTTCAAAAGCTGAATATTGAAGATTGCAATGTGGCCCTTTTGAATAGCATGGCTGATCTCACCTCTCTTGCTAGCTTGGAAATTAAGAGAATTTCAGGACTTGTTTGCTTGGCTAGGAGTTTTATTGAGTCCTTGATAGCAGTTGAGAAGGTGGAGATTAAAAAATGCCTCGAGCTTACTTGTTTATGGGAGGAAGGCGCCGAGATAGAAAACCTTGCTCGTCTTGAGAAAATGAACATTGAGAGCTGTCCTCTGCTTGTTTCATTGACGGGGAAAGAACATGGCCTTCTTCCTTTCAATCTTAAACATCTCACACTTTCAAGTTGCAAGGCTTTAGAGTCATTAACTGATGCGATGATGATGAAGGTAGATGGAAGCAGTAGCAGCAACAACATGTTGAGACTTGATTCATTACGCATCTACAATTGTGAGTCTCTCAAGTCTTTACCGACCACCATGGTTAAACACTTGACAATTAATGGATGTGTCAATTTTGAGTCTTTACCAGATGGAGTATTATTGCAAGATGATGGTGACAGCAACAGCAATCTTGAATATTTGAGAATAGAGGGACTTCCATCTCTAAATTCTGTTGGGAGTGGTCATCTGCCAGCTTCTCTCAAGGAATTTACTGTTGAAGATTGCAAGAGGTTGGAATCATTTCCAGAGAGGATGCTGGAACATTGTACGGGACTTGAATCCCTTCGAATTTGCAATTGTGAAGTATTGAGAAGCTTATCACTTGAAGGCCTCAGCAATCTTCGTGATTTGAACATTAGAAGGTGTGCAGTTTTAGAATTCTTCCCAGAAATGGGCCTCTCCTTGCCCAATCTTAGGTCTTTGACAATTATAGGTTGCCCAGGGTTGGAGCGCATTCTAGATGGGGGTTTTCCCCCAGACTTAACAGATCTTTACTTAGACGGTGAGCATCTGAAGCAGCCGGTAGTGGAATGGGGCCTCCGCAATCTTACCTCTGTTCAACGCCTTGGCATTTATAACACGTGTACTCTTCCGGATATTGTGCTTCCTTCCTCTTTAAGATCTCTCTGGATAGAAAATGCAAAGAATTTGAAATCCATACCCAGAGGGCTCCTCCAAAACCTCAACTCTCTTCAATATTTACAAATTTCGGGGTGCCCAAAGCTACGGTCCTTGCCGAGGGAAGGCCTGCCTGCGTCGCTTGGATCTCTCTGGATCACTAGGTGTCCGCTTCTAAAACGACAACGCTTTGAGGAGAAAGGAGAATATTGGTCTCTCACCCGTACCATCCCTTGCGTCCAAATAGATGATGATGAGGTAAAACCTACACTCAAACTCGCACTCTGATGTAGAGACAAACAAGGATAGCCTCTTCTTCTTCTTCTAATTGTTGGAAGCTAACTTTTCTTACACATATTCATCAGCTATAACCACCAAAGCCAATTGTTACCTGAGTGAAATCTGGAATGAAGCTACAGACTTATTATTGAGGTATATTTCTTTTCTTTTTAATAGCTTAAATTATAATATATCTGCATATTGCTAAACTACTTCTCTTTTTATTGATAAATTTGGAGAGCTTGATCCCCTTCCCAACTCTTCAGCTTCAGCTAAAGTTAAGGTGACGGCTATATTAACGCATCTTACAAATTAAGCTACAGACTTATTATTGAGGTATATTCTTTCCTTTTTAATAGCTTAAATTATATCTGCATATATTGTTGCACTACGTACTTCTTTATTTATTGATAAAAATTTAAATTTGTAGAGATTGATTTGCTTCCCCACTCGTCATTTAGTTATTTCAGATTGTTGGAAAAGGGAATTTGAGTGATTTGCACTTGGCATTGAGGATAGTTCGTTGGGAATTTCCAAATATGTTGATGAAGCCACAATAGCAATGGTGAGAAAATTAGCTTGTAAACTGTTGTTCTCTGGCAATGTTTCATTCTCTTCTTCAGTTATCTCAAATAGTACTTGTGAGTGCAAATCTGCAACAACACCATTTTCCTTCTGAATACTATTAAAGTATCTTTTGAGTTCTATCTTGCACATTCATTGTTTTTGGTCTCACTGTTTTCTTAAGTCATCCCTAACCCATGTACTTGCAACACTGTTGAAATGCTTAGATGCTGCCCCTAATCAGAAGACGTATTCTACATTACTTTCTAAAAATCTCTAACTTTAAATATTTCCCTTATTTTTTGCAGGAAAATGGATCTTATTGGGTTTTTTTCATCAACTTCTCTTAACTCATTAAAGACAATTTAAGGATGTGAAGGTGGATAGTCTGGTGTTCATCCCCTTTGATATAGACTGGTAACATCTGCGCAGTCATAATTTCTTATTGAATTTAAGATGTTTGTCCTACAGAAAACATGCACCTATCTCATGACTGATGAATTGTTGATGTTCTTTAATGCTTTATATCAGGGTTTTGACACTGCTATTGCAGCAGGAGCCAAGGAGGTAGCCGCAGCTGCCTCATCTTCAGAGTCTTTTTCAAATTAAAAAACAAAATCAATTAGTGAAGATAGTCTTACTCATTGCTATGATGTTATTGCTGCTGCAAGATAGCTTTCAATTCCTATTCATGGGTAGGTTACTAACTACCATTGCAATTGCTCTATATTTCTTGGGAGGAAAGGAGGAAAAGGGGTAGAAAAGTTAGTCTTATTTCTTCCTATTGAATCTGCAGTCAGTTTAGTCTTCAACTTTGTAGACATATATCATGTGTAATGGGTTGCCCTGTAGAAGTAATGGAGGCAAAATTTGCACATGTGGCCAAACAACTTTGTGATATGGGTTGCTATGAAATTTCTCTTGGTGATACAACTCGTGTTGGCACACCTGGTAATGCTGAAAACTGTATTCTGTTTGGAATCACACATTATTTGTTTTTATATTCTCTTGGGGTGGGCCCTTAGGGGAGTGGCAGTGAGGTCTCTGTTGGTTTGTTTCAAATCATGTTAGTGATTTTAATGCACACAAATAGCTGAAGCTTCTTCTAAATCCATTGTCTGATACAGGCTAATTGATTATGTGCTGGTTTCAATGCATCATAATCTCAAATTTATTATTTTTACTTTTGGGGTTAACCTAGGATATTCTTCTTTTGTGCCATGTTGAAGGAACTGTCATTCAAATTCTTGAAGCTGTTCTTGATGTTGTTCCAATTGATAAGCTTGCTGTACATATTCATGACACTTATGGGTAAGCCCTTTCGAATATTTGGCATCTCTCCAATTATGCATTCTTTCTCATTTTCAATCTCTTATGATTGCTTCTCAACATGTTCATTTTCTTGTCAAGATGATAATCAGATACATGTCCTTTTTCTACTACTATAGGTTCATGTATGCTTTACAACTGAAAATGCTGTCCATGTTTTCACAGATGGGGGGATCAACACCGTGGACTCATAGGTTGCAGGTCTTGGAGGTTATCCATTTAATCCTAGAGTTTTACCGGGAAATGTTGCAACTGTGGGTGTTGTTTACATGCTAAATGGACTTGGAGTAAAAACCAATGTGGATCTTTAGAAACTCACCTGCTAGAGGTTTTTATCTGTCAGCATTTGGGAAGGACATCAAGTTCAAAGACCAGAGCTGCCTTGAGTAGGGAAGCAAAGCCTTGTACTCTCAGTACTTCCTAGCAGGATTCGTAGCAGTTAAAGACAATGACCTTGGAATTAGTCGCATAATTCCAAAAAAGGGAGAAAACGAATGAACATATTACAGATACCAAAAAAAAAAAAAAAAAGGCAGAAGAAAGGTGGCATTGGTGTGAAGAAAGCAGAAGAAAGAATTCAAAACTTGTGTTAAACCTATACAAATGTTTTAGTCGGGGGAGTAAGAGGGTGATGCCTTATTACATTATATAAGTAACAAACAATTCAAAGAGTGTGAAGAACATAAATTAATTGTGTTCATGACTCATTTTTTGCCTATAAATAGCGAATGGACTTTCTGTATCAGTCATTTAACACAGCATATCTTTCATCCTCCTGTCACGATTTTCTCCTGTATCTGATGTTAATTGTTGACCGTATGATTAGCTTCAATTTGTTGCACTATGGTTTAGGATTTCAAAGCCACCGTATGTGATGAATTGTAGGTAATCATGTGGATCAATAATTGACACAAGGAAGGAGACAAATGTAAACGCAGAAGCTGGTTTTGCAACTCTAGGACTTAAAAATCAGCACAGCCAAAGTTCACTATTCATGGCATTGCCCATCAGTGCCTCTGGTGCATGTGAAAATTTGTGCGGGGAGTGGCTTCTGAAACTCAAGAGGTTCAAGTGTTATGATTTCTAGGGCTTAACTTAGATTTGGTCCTCTTCTTTTGTGTACCTTGTTGCAGGTATTGTCATTCCAATGCTTGAAGCTGCTCTTGATGTTCCAATTGATCAGCTCTTGCTGTCCATTTTCATGACATTATGGGCAAGCCCTTTCAAATATTTTAGCATCTCTCCAAGTAAGCATTCTTTCTCATTTTTAATATCTCAAGGTGTTTTTGGTTGCTTTACAAGTGGATTGAATTTGCAGTCTCTAGTGTCAGGAGTTTTGAAATTATTATTTTTGAACCTAGACATGAAATATTAGAAAGTTATAATATCATCAAATATCTAGTAGTTCATTGTTATAGATAATCATTTTTTTTCTTAAATCCTGTTTCAAGATTTGAATGTATGAACTTTTTTTCAGTCCCAAATTTTTTACTAGTTGAGAAAATCATACAAGCTTAATTTATCTTGTAGTTTTTCATTTATATGACGGTCCTTCCGAGCGCATGTCCTGTACCTTTCACACTTTGTAAATGAATATAAATAAATGAGAAAAGACAATAAAACAAGTGCCTTTCACCCTGAGGTAATCCCCTTTCTCTAACATACAAAACCATCATTTTCACTTCAAATTTTCCTCTTCCTTTCCACATAGGTCAAAGGAATGGTTTGTAATTGTTTTGTCATTAACCTTTTTTTTCTTCAAATGTGCTCAATAATTGCTATTCTGGTTTAGCCCGGAAAATCAGCCTATCCGAAAACACTTGTGTTTCTCTTATTTGGTTTGGTTTTGATTTATCAATTTTTCAGTTTCAAAAAAATTTTTTTTTTAATGGAAAGTACGTGCATACACACTATAGTATGAGATTGAAAAAGACTCAAATTTAAAATTTTTTAATTTTAATAAAAAAATATTACTAAATTATTTAGATAATTCTCTTAGCATTTCCCTTCCTACTTCTGAGAACTCTTTACCACGAACTGCAGAAAAGGCAGGGCTGGGCAAGATAGCCGGACCCAATTAGTGGCCTGGACACATACCAGTTATAAAATGGGCCTATGGTTCAGTGACGACACGCTTTGGCCCAAAGCTTAGGTGACAATATTTCTGTGGGCGATTTTAGTGTTAACGCTTAACCGCAGCTTGAACTTCCGCATGGAAAATTTTAAGTTCAAATTTTCAAGTTAGTGGTGAGGAGTTTGGGGAGAAAATAATTATTTTTTATTATTTAATTTATTATTAAATATATAAAAAATATAAATAAGTCTTTTGTACAGAAGTTTAGTGTGGGCATTGTAAAAATTAG